GAACCTGTGGCCTTAAGGCCACATGTGGTCTTCTAGGTCCTTAAGTATGGCCTTTGGATTGAGTCCAAATTTTACAGAACAAATCCTTTTATTAAAAGGGGTGCAGCAGAGAAAGATGAAGCTTTTTCTGCCTCCTTTGGTGCTTAAAAAAAGAACAATCTTGAAATCAGAAGGCCATAGGTCCTTTCTACCTATGTATCTATACCTGTATTATATAGTGATATATAGATAAAGTGATAGATGGATCTTTATATCCCATATATATAAAAAATCTGTGCCATTCTTGTGGTCTATTATATTCCATTATCCATTTGGTTATCCTACACGAATAGTTCTATATTACTTTATAATATTTTTAAGTCTAAAATAAAGGAAGGCTGTGCTAACTCAGGTAATGTTGGCACCTGTGCTGCATGAACATGGGTCCCCTACATCACAGAGAGTGACCCCAAGAAGCCTGCAGTAGGAACTTGCCAGACCTTTGATTTCTTCCTCCTTCCCACCAATACCAGGGCCCCTGAGGGTGGCGGCTGGCAGCCTTCGGCCCTGGAAGCCCGTCCAGATCAGCACCTGGCCCTGGCCACTTGCCTGGCAGCTTCCTTCCCGCTCAGATGGGCCCTGCTGAGAGCAAGCCAGCTTCCCAGCACGGCGCAGGGCCCCGTCCCCGCCACTCCCCTGCGCGGCTTCTGTTCATCAGTCCGCCCTGCATCTCCCACACCGACACCCAGAAGAGCCAGGCCTTGGCAAGCACTCCGAGCAGCTTCTGTGAAGCTACATTACAGACTGAAATGAGCTCTGTTTTTAATTTGATTTTTTTTTCCCCTGTAACAAGCAAAGTTCACATTACAGAGAAATTGCCTGGAAATTCCAATTTAATAAGGCATGTGCATTTGTCAGGCCTAGAAGCATAGAAAACATCTTGCACACTGGTATCTTTACACTGAAAGGTTTATTAAAAAGACAGCTTTGAAAATGTCAGAAATTTACATAGCGTGCCTGGCCAATGGGTCAAAAAGGCTGATTTGACAAAAGCGCTTGAAAGGCAGAACGTGCAGGAGCAGACTGGCGGGTGGTCTGGAGCGGAGGACCTGCCCGCCCAGCCTTACGTTTGCTCAGGGAAGAGTGTAGACCAGTGCTGGGAGCTTGGGAGTGCTCCGCTATGGATGTCCCTCCCTCCCTCCCTGTCCGCGAGTGTGATTCTGGGTAGCAGCAGCAGCTGTGACACAGGCGTACCTCCACCAGGTCTCCCGAGGGAAGAGGCACCAAACAGCAAAATAAATAAATAGAGGGAAGCAGAATTAAAGAGTCCTGCGAAAACACAATTGAATAGCATAGCCATGGACACCTGATTATTTTTTAAGGAAGAGAGTGCAGCGCCATCCTGTCAAACCAGCCAGGCCCGGCTTTCGGCTTTCGCTGGAAATGAGACGCGGGGAAGCAGGTGCGCGGGTGCTGGGTGCTGCGTTAGAGGCTTGAGTCCCAGCTCGCGTCTCCGCGCATCCTACTCCTGCGCACAAGCAGACACGTTAACGCTGCGCAGTCACAGCAGCGTGAGACCGAAAACCACCACAGAGGGAGAATCAAAGCTCAGTGCTTGTATGCCAGTGTGGAAAAGCTGGGTTATTTAATTCCGTTTTTATTTATATTCTAAATGAAGTTGAGTAATCAGGGAATAAAATATGGTCCATTTAAAACTGTCATTATTTCAAATATGTTGAACGACCACAAAATACTCCCAGACCAGCTGTGAACTCGTTACCTGAAAAGACAGGCTACCTGTCCTTGCATTTGCCGATTCCATGGTTGTTCCAGCTGAAAGAAAAAAGATGCAGTGGATATTTACTGGGCACCCACTGTGCCCAGGCACGCTCCTCAGCCCTGGGAAGGCACAGTGGACAATACCTGGTCTTAGGCATGAGAAACAGACCTGATTAAAGCCCAGCCCCTGGGATCCAGCACACCTGTGTTAAATTCCAGGCCGGCCACTTCCTAGCTGGGCTGCTTTCGGCAAGGTGCTAAGCCTCTCTGATTCTTGGTTACCTCACCTTTAAAACAGGGATTATACCTGCTGCATCAGGTTGTCGTGAATCACAAAAACAAATGTGGTGATGCCCACGAAGTGTTTAGCACAGAGCCGGGCACAAGGGCGCTTTCTTACTTGCATTTTACTGAATATGACGCAGTGATCATCCTGACACCAGGAGCTTAGGGTCGGTGAGGGCGGCAGGCCTAGAAGGGCCCATAACGGGCATTTGGATCCAGGTGTGTGCCCAGCAAGGACCTGGGGGAGGACAATTCTTTCTACCGGGGAAGTCACACAGGGCAAACGAGAGGACACGTGAGTGGGGTATTGAACAATAGCAGGGGTTTGCCAGGTGGAAGCAGAAATCACTACTGAAATGAGAGACTGGAGTTTTTAAAGCAGTTCACTCTCAAAAGTAATATGTCGCTTCTGTTTTCACAAAATAGTGAAATGATAATTAGGCGGCAACGTGTGTGGGAAGCCCCACGTTAGCCTCATTCGTTCTCTCCCTCTGTCCCCGTCACTGTCGCCCAGGGCTCTGCTGCGTCAGATATTTACAAAGCATTCTGGGGGATGGGTCAGATCACATAAGAAGAGGACAGAGGAGTCCCCGACCCCAGTGAACCACCAGCATATCCGCAGCCCGAGGCTGGGGCTCCGGGAGGGGCTGGAGCGAGGGGAGGGCCCCCGGCTGGTGATGAGGGTAGGGCTGCAGGCGAAGCGCTGTCTGTCCTGGGGCACCAGCGGCTTGTGGCAGCTGCGTAGACGCCCTTCCCTTCGACAGCCAGCAATTTCTTATTCCCTGGCCGCCCTCTCGGTGACCCAGGTTGATCATACCTTCTTTCCGAGACACGGCCTCCCCAGGCAACAATCACACTGCAGCCCCCAAGATCACCTCCCAGGCATGGTCAGAACCTGGGCGCTTCCCCTTCTCTGGGGCCACACGTTTGTGGACCGCCCCCTTGTTTCACCTACACAGGAGTAATCCCACCCACCGCACTTGGATGCATCCTCATTCTATCTCCGGAGGCAACGTTTTCTCAAAATTTAGTACCTTCTTCAAAATAAGATACTTCCAAAAAAAAAAAAAAGGCATCTTCTGCCCGTCTGCCTGTGTAAATGAGTGAGCGGGGAAGGGCTTTGCAGGACGGCTCAGGACAGAGGCTCTGGGATCCAACCACCTGGGCCCCCATCCTGATTCCACAACTCGAGTAGCCATGTGGTTTGTTCCTCAGTTTCCTCATCTGCGAGTGGGGATATTATACTGTAATAATTTAGGGGTGTCACTGTAACAAATTCTGTAAACTTTGGGACTAGAAACTTATTCTCCCATGGTTCTGGAAGACAGAAGTCCAAAATCAATATCACAGGGTCAAAATCAAGGTGTCAGCAGGGCCACACTCCCTCTGACAACTCTAAAGGAGCTTTTTCTTGCCTCTTCCAGTTTCTGGTGGCTGCGGCATTCCTTGGCTTGCGGCCACATCACTCCAATCGCTGCCTCTGTGATCACTTGGTCTCCTTTTCAGTGTGTCCCAAATTTCCTATGCCTCCCTTTTATAAGGACACTTGTGACTGCAGTTAGCAGCCTCCCACCCCAGATAATCCGAAATAACTTCCCCATCTCAGGATCCTTAACTTAATCGGACCTGCAAAGTCTGGGCCACACAAGGTAACGTCCACAGGTTGCAGGATGAGGACGTGGATATCTTTCCCACTGTGAAGACTGGGGTGGTCATTTGCTCAAGATCTTCATTTGCAGATTTGCAATCCTGTTGGTTAATCTACTTTTAAACATCCTTAGAACCGAAGCTGGCATCTTTCCCAGACTGATGAGCTACCAGTTCTCACGTCTCTTCAGGGGGACGTACTTTGAAGACTGGTGGGGAATGGCAGAACACCAACAAGCATCCTCCTGGCTTCGGTCTGGAAATGGCACGTTACCCAAGCCACCCAGTTCGGAGAAACCTGAGTCATGCTCAGTTTGAGTCTCCCTGATATTAATAGATAAGAATGTCATTTTTCACTATGTGCTTCTTTATAGTGTTTGAACCTCTTAAATGAGCATGTATTACTTTTACAGCAACTCAAAAAAAAAGACATAATGTTTTTAAATTTTTGATGGTTTCCCGTTATCCAAAGTCCAAACTCCTTACAACAGTAGTTTACGTTTTTATAATCTGGTTGAATCCCATGAGGAAGATGCTCTTGTTATCAGCCCGGTTTCTCCAAACTCATTTACTTTTAGTTTCCCTTGCAGCTATGTTCCAACCACAGCCGTCTACTTCTTAGTCCCTAAATAGTCATTTATTCAGCAAATATCTACCAAGCGTTGTATATGTGCCAAGCAATGTTCTAGGACCTGGGGTCATGGCAGGGAACAGACAAATATTCCCGCCCCCATGGCATTTACATCCTAGTGAACGTCTCTATTCCAGGTGTTAACTCACACTGTCCTCTCCTCCTCATTTGTCTGTCCCCTCATTCTCTGGCTACATCCCACCCACTGCTGCAGTCTTGTCGCAGATGCTGCATTCTCTGTGAGAGCCCGGGGGACCCTCCGTCAAAGGCAGTGACTTCCTCCTGCAGCACCGAGGTGCCGGTGGTGCCTTCACAACAGTGTTTCTCGCACCTGGTCTGCAGACATCACGCATCCACCGTGGCAAAGGAACTAGGTGGATTTGGACTGTGAACTCTGCTCTGCCTTTATGAGAGCTGGGCAGAGCTTGGACGAGCGTCGTCCTCGCAGGCCTGTCGTGAGGAATAAAGGAGGCGCACGTGCAAAGTGTTCTGCCCAGAGCAGGCCACGGGTCGGTGGCCAGACGTTACTTTCTGAATCACCAACTGTAGCTGAAATGATGTTTTTGGATTGTTGTCGAGCATGACCCAGCGCCTAGCACAGGAGCTTGTATCCAGCACTCAGCGAATGTTTCTTGAACTAATTTGAATGCCATCTGACACTGTTTTGGATTCTTTCCAGGTATTCTGTTTACAAGGACCCCGCAGGCTGGCTGAACATCAACCCCATCAATGGGACTGTTGACACCACGGCTATGCTGGACCGCGAGTCCCCGTTCGTCCACAACAGCGTGTACACTGCCCTCTTCTTGGCAATTGACAGTGGTGAGTAATTTGAAAAAGACCATCAAGGGTATACTGTTCAGTTACACTTTTAAATTTCTCCTGAGACACCCAGAGGTGTTCTTGAGAAGGATATAAATGTGTGAGAGCAGGGAAGCAAATGTTTAAACACGCACATATTGAGTCAGGAAAATCCCCAAGTCCTGGAATCCTCGGGTCTCTGTGGAAAGGTGAGTAATGTCCAGTGAGGGGTCAGGGCGGTGAGCTCGCTGTTCCATCTCGGGCAGCACCAAGGTTAGGAAGCCACGCGAATGTCCTTTGTCTTAGTGTCATGCTCTCATTTGCAGAGGGTTCTTTGACTTAATACAAGTTGAAAGAAAGTCCCAGAGGACATTACTGACCCTGACAATTGAATTTTCCCCGGGGCTTTTATCCTATTATGGTATCCTACCGTGGAAAGACATCAGGTACACTCAGCTAGTAGCTTCATAACCACGAAACAACTGCTATTCCTTCAAAAGCTGATAACGCAACAACCATGCGCCAGACCCTAATTTAGATGCTGGGAACACAGCAGTGAATAAAACACAACCCGTCCTCGTGGAACTGACATGCTGGCGGGGAAAGGAAGTAGAGTTCAAAGGGCCGTGACTGTTCCCTGCTCTGTTGAGATCAGACTGCAGGGGACAAGGAAATCGGGAATGGTCATTCCATTGACAGAAACAGGGAGCTAGTTTCAGGGGATTGCTCCCATCCTGCTCTAGAGGAATGAGCTGTTGAGATTATGTCCCATGAGAGACAGCGATACAGGAATGGAATAAGGAGAGGAGATTTGTGCAGGGAGTTGCCCATGCAAGAGATGAGAGCCGTCAGAACAGAAAAGCTTTCTGGCAGGAAGAGATCTAGGCAGAGTATGAAGGACGTTAACAGGAGATGACAAGAAGCCAAGGGAACGTTTAAAATGCCGTATAAATGAAAAACATCAACAATAGATCAGCTGAAGTAATGACTTCAGGGTTCTACATAAAACTATCTGTACTTGTAGAAAAATTTCTCAGCTAGGAATGCCACAAAAGAAGGTTGAAATAAAGCACAGTATAGTTGTCATTGCCTTATGGAATATTTCACGCAATTATTCATCAAAAAAATAAAAAATGCAGTATACTTACTTTTTGCCAAAAACGAGAGCCTTCTTTCCAGGCGTGCACTAATCAATCAACGACACTTCCTGTGCGGCCACCTTGCCCACAAGTAGTGAGGGGAACTAGATCCTGATTTACACTTAGGAACCAGACACAGAATTTAGGTGACTTTCTCAAAGTCATACCATTAAGACATGATTTTCCTACCTTGGGTTTCTACCTGGAAGTAGCAACCTGGTTTTAAGTTCTTCCATGCCACTTACTAGTTATCCGATTGTGAGGAAATAACTTACAACATAGTCAAGACCCAATGACACCTTACAACCACATGCTTCGGTGGAGGAAATTCAGTCTCATCTGTGTTTTCTCAACATTCGGCAGACGAGCCGTCTGGCTGTGTGACTGCAAAAGCTTCCGTCGCAACTTCTGCACAATGAGGAGGATGATTCCTACGTAGGCCCTGTTAGGAGAAATGGCGATGACGTGCTGCTTTGCCCTCCAGACTCTGCATCAAAAGCCGCATTAAATGTTCACTAAATGTTAATCCCTCCCCGATGGGGGTTCCAGAAAGGAAAGAGTGAAGCCAAGGATGGTCCTCCCGTGACTCAAGAAAAATACAGCTTGCGTCTACTTCTTGTCTAACTCTGTTAATACCAATGTCAGACAAGGAAATTTAAAATCTGGTGTCACAGCTGTTTCCAGAGGACTGAAATGTCCCTAAAGATGTATGGTAAATAGAAACCAGGTTGGCATTAATATACAAAACCATCATTAGGGAGAATAATCTTGAACAAGGCCCAAAAGACTCAGAGCAAAGAGAACATGATTTTTGAAAAGGCCTCATGGATCAGAGCAACTTCCGTTTGAAGGCCCCTTTTTGTCACTCACCGAAAACTTATCTCTAGGTATTATGTTTAACCAGGAAAAAAACAACACTTACCTATTCGATCAAAGTTAATAGCACCAAGTGATGTCTCAACTTTATCCAAAGTGAGCATTTGTTTTTATTAATTGTATAGAAATTCAATTTATTTGATGGAATGAAAGAATAAGGGTTTTTGTCAGGTAACTCTAGGAAAGCTAAAGCAAAATAAATTGATATGCTCCAAACCAGGAGTCGTTCCGGAATTTATGCGAAATCATGTCAATAAAATATATGGCTGCAGGAACTTCCAGCTGGGATGTGTAAGCCAATATTCCCACTGTAGCACTAGAGAAATCCAGATAAATTACAGAAATCAGATGCTAGAAGAAGTCTTCATCGTAAAGGCACCAGAGAGCTGCGGAAGCCGTGGAGGCTGGATCCGCTAAAATACCGAAGGGGAAGGAGTCGTTCCAAAGACAGTGTAAGGGACAGTCATTTTCCCCCCGCTCTGGGGGCATGTTCTGATTCCAGGAGAGAGCCAGCCTGGGCCCGTGCAGAGGGTCTAGGATGGAGGGAAAGAAATCGGAAACACTTGTTAGATTGATCGGGGGCTGGTGTGACACACTGGAAACTTAAGGGGCTTTAAACACACGGTTGCTTTCCCCCATGGACAGATGCCTCTTCAAGGGCAGAGTGAAATTTCCTGGGATCTCGCGGGAAACAGAGACCAACCAGAGGAAGCGAGTTCTCCTCACACACACGGCCTTCTCTCATTTACGACATTTGCCAGACTGCGAAGGCACAGGGGTTGGAGAGCGGGTGTTGGATGGCTGCGGAGCTGGGGCGTAGCCACGGAAGGGCAGAGCTGGGTCTCCTGGGGCCATTCAGGGCTGAGATGCTCCGGGCTCTCGGCCACAATCCCGGGGGCCCTGCCATCATTAGATCCATCAAGAAGCAAGAACACACAGTGGTGATCAAGAGGAAAGTCAGACTGCAGAGCACCCAGGTATCTGAATTGGCACATAAAGACTTTCAAATAACCGTGATTGCTCTGTTCAAGGAAATAGAATAAAAGACAGATTAAAGCAGAGAGAATTACACCAGAGATTTGAATTGAACTCTGGTAGAAAGAATCAAATGGATATTTCAAAACTGAAATATGTATTATCTGATATTAAGAACTAGAAACACCCCAGCTGCCTGAACATAAAACAATACACTTCTAAATAATCCATAGTCAAACAGAATGTTAAATAGAAAATACTGTGGAAAGAATAATGAAAATACGAAATATCAAAACCTATGGGATGCACTATACCAGTGCTTAGAGGAAAATTCTAGAAAGATAGGAAACGAACAAGACAAAATCAACAAATCCAAAAGCTTTTCTGTTGAAAACATTTAATAAAGTTGATACAAGCATATCAAGATGAATAAAGAGACAAAAAGAGAAAAAAATACAAATTACCAATGCCAGGAATAAAAAAGAGAACATGACTATAGACATCAAAAAAAATAAAAGGATATTATAAACACTATATGCAATAATTTGACAATTTGTATGTAATGAACAAGATTCTCCAAAATTATAACTTATCAAAAGTGATCTAGGCCAGCCGTGGTGGCTCATACCTGTAATCCTAGCACTCTGGGAGGCTGAGGCGGGAGGACTGCTTGAGCTCAGGAGTTCGAGACCAGCCTCAACAGGAGCAAGACACTGTCTCTACTAAAAATAGAAAGAAATTAGCTGGCCAACTAGAAATAGAAAAAAAAAAATTAGCCAGGCGTGGTGGTGCACACCTGTAGTCCCAGCTACTCGGGAGGCTGAGGCAGGAGGATCACTTGAGCCCAGGAGTTTGAGGTTGCAGTGAGCTATGATGAAGCCACTGCACTCTAGCATGGGCAACAGACTGAGACCCTGTGTCAAGAAAAAGAAAAAGAAAAGAAAAGAGAAGAGAAGAGAAGAGAAGAGAAGAGAGAAAGAAAGAAAAAGAAAGAAAGAAAGAAAAGAAAGAGAAAGAAAGAAAGAAAACAAAGTGAAAAGTTAACCCCACAGAATAGAAGATATTTAGATATTTATAACACAAAGAATTCTACAATCTGTAAGCAAAAGACACAACCCAAAGAAGAGTGGGTAAAAGACTTAACAGGTACTTCATAAAAGATGTACAAATGCCAAAAAACATATGAAAAGATGCTCACTTAATTAAACAAGAATACATAAATTAAATTATACAAATATAAATTAAAATACAAATTAATCAAGGAAATACAATGAAATGCAATACAGCAACACACCTACAAAATGCCCGAAATGAAAAGATAGAAAATACCACGCGTTGGCAAGGATGTGAAATAACTGGAACTCTCATACAAAGGCGGCAGAAGTATAAATTGGTACAACCACTTTGGAAACAAAGTATCAACTAAAGTCAACCCTATATACCCTTATATACTCTATGATCCAGGAATTACACAACTAGGTATTATATATCCAACAGAAATATATTCCCCAAAACACAAGTGCCAGAATGTTAATAACAGCATTATTCATAAGAACATAAAATTGGAAATCATCCAATCCAAATGCCCAGCAAAAGTAGAATAATAAAGTGTGGTGCATTCACACAATGGAGCCTATACAACGACAAGAATGAATGATCTGTAACTATTCACAACAACATGGGTGAATCTCGCAAACATGGTGAATGAAAGGAGGCCAAAACAAAAGGTGACATACTGAATGATTCCACTTATGTAAGGATCAAACTCAGGTGAAACTAATCCTGGCTGTCAGGTTACCTTGCAGGTAGATTTCTTGATGTGGTAGCATTGGACTACCTGAGTGTAATCAGATTGTGAAAATTCATCAGGCTGTGTATTTATGATACATGAATACTTATATGCTTCAATAAGAAATTAACAAAAAAATGCATGGCCGCAGAGACAGCATGTCCCTTGTCTGCTGGAGACCTATACCCATTCATGTATTCTCCAAGTACTTGCTTACCCTCTAGACAGATTCTCACCATCTT